GGAGGCGGGGAGGGCCCGGGTGCCGTCCCGGGGCGATCCTTGGACTCGGCCGTGCTGTGTGCGGCGGTTACAGCCGGGACGCAGGAAGGATCCCGTCCTTGAGCGGGGCGCCATGGAGATAACGCTCCATTCCTGATGAAAACCTTTGTAGCACAATAACCCGGCTTAACCTCAAACTCATAAAGGTGATTTTCTATGTAAATTCCTGTGTTCCACTGGATTTTGAATGCGTAGATCCTTGTCTCTTTTTTGGCGACTCCAATTTACATTTTTTTTAACTTAGCCTGTAAATATCCCATTCCCTTGCAACATTTTGCCCGTTCCACCTGTGAAATTCTAATCCAATTCCAAACGTGTCACTCCTGCAGTTCCTGTTTCGCTCCCACTAACATTAATATGCCATACACAAAAACACTTGGTGTTGCTAAATATAAAGATGCCATTAAACAAATTCGGAGGTGGGTCTGCTCTGTAGTTCCCTGCGCTAAGAGCAGCGCTAACAGCAAGCGTAACGCGGCAGGTAGAGGAGTGCTAGCGAGTGGTCACCCAGCACCGCGCTCAGAGTTTGCAATGTGGTTTGGCAGGTTTGCTGTGCTGCGTGTTTACAGAGAAGGGTTTGAAGGTATCGATGGTGTGGGACATAAATATTTGAAATAATTTGAAATATCTCAGATAAGTCTTAGGAACAGAAAGCTGGAAATCAGTGACTTGAGAAGAGCTTTGCTATAGGACGGAATTTGTACATCCCATTTTCTCTTTTGCTTTCAGACTGTTTTTAACCTAAATAGAAGCAGGGTTGGAATGTTCTGCTCATATGGGAATCTTCAGCTCTTATTTAGCTTGCTTTCTTGTGGTATAAAAATATTTAACTATGAAAAAGAACAGGGCTTAAGACAAAAAAAAATCTTATAAAGCCACATTTTTATACTATGTCTGCCTTTTCTGGGATGATTTTTGTAAATTGTGGGAAGCGAGACGTTTCCCTAACAGCTTTATAAGATTTCTAGTATGACAGACTCTCACCCCCTCTATATCTAGTATGTTTTTAAACAGTCCATCTTCTGCAGGGTGTGGAACAGGAGCATAAACAGTGGTCTCACCTCCCAGATAAATGATCTGCTTGCTGGGGCTAATGCTACTCTGAATTGCAATCAATTAATTAAATATTCATTAGAATAAATGCTGCCCTCCCGAGCCGCTTTTACTCACACGCATTAATGAACAATGTGATTATACTCTCTTATGCTGTCTCTGCCCTACTAAATATATTTAGTTTTCAACATCTGTTTAGTCATTGACTCTGTGAAGTCCTGATGAAAAATAGTTTCTTGCTGAAGTGTTTTGCTGGATTAAAGACAAAACAGGGTGTAGTCCGAATCGGGCTCTGTATGGGTTGTAATTTTTGTGGTGGAGAGGGAAGGGGCTTAATCAGGGTTAATTAGTCAGTTATTCAGGACAAAAAGGGTTACAAATGGGGGAGGTCAGCCGGGAGGTGGCAGAAGTGACTGTGACTTGGTGCTGACCGGGTTTTGTGGGAGAGGAGCCCTGGGATCGCAGGGTTCAGCGGGAGAGCGGTGCTCGACGGCCCAGGACGAAGCTTTCCAGAGCATTTTGGTCCTGTTGCCCTTTCGGCAGATCGTTTAGATCTGTGTAAACTGAATAATCCAGCAGCAGCTGGTCACCACACGGGCATTTTGAGCTAATCCTGGAGCATGTAGCTAATAGTAGCCTCATGCTGTGGTTTAAGCGCTCTCCTTTTAATAGGCCAAAGGGCTTTCTGTGAGCAATATTTGATGTCTTCTGAAGAGCTTTAGTAGCACGAATGCTAACCAGTACCTGCATTACTGCTGATACACTGTCGTGCTGGCGTTTTCCATTGTACCTATATATATATATATATATCACTAGAGGGAAGAAAAAATGGAAAATGGGATGTACAGACATATGGATGTGTGATTGTATTTTTCTGGTCACAGCTTGTTCAGGATTTGTTTTTCTTTGTTTTCTCCGTCTAACCAAATAATGCTACATTAATAAATAAATGCTGCCCCCAGCCATGGTAGGCATTGTCTGGAATAATTCCAGTGGCTTCATGAAATAGCAAACTCGAGGCATATTCTAATCTCCTCCATTTGAACTAAATGGGGAAAAATGTTAAATGTTTGTTTTATTGCTTATTTAGAATAAATTCTCTTCCAGTATGGCCTGTAGTCATTATTATTCAAACTATGGTCATGAAAAAAATAATACATGGAGTGATACAAAAAATGTCTGTCTTCATGTGGAAGGCAAAATCTTGAAAGTCTTTGCGAGTTGCATGTGGGAATTTTTGTGATTTCTTCATGCTGGTTCTGTGAAGTGCTCTGTGCTCTCAACTGCTGTTGTGAATCTGGTGTAACAATAACCAAAACATTAACCAAGTGGTGACAATTGCCTCTATTATTTGAAACAGAAAGCCCCCAAATATGTCCTGTTTTGTTTGCTTGTTTTTTTCTCCAGCTTCCAAAGAGAATTTATGAATTCTGATCAGATGACTGGATTGGTTATAATAAACCAGACACTGTTTTATGCTTTAAAACTTCTGTGGTGGCCTGGGCTTGCCAAGCGCTGCAGAATTTCTGGCCTCTGCGTGAGCTCCCGGGCCAGGCCGAGTCCGGCCTGTTTGGCTGGTCCGGGAAGGGTGGCAGCGAATCCGGGTCTGTCCCAGAGCAATGGAAATACTGCATCAAAGGTCCTTGGAAAGGGAAAGGGTTCGTGTATCTTAAAAATAAGCATACTTCTCTCCAAACAAAAGCATTCTTAGTCTCTCCATGTTGTCCTGCATGGCATTTAGGCCATTTTGAATATCTTGAGATTAAAAAGTGTATTTCAAGTTAAAATTCTGTGGTTTTCTCAATTCTGAATGCACTCTTTGGAGAACATATAGACACTTAAATAAAATTATTTTTCAAGTTATTCTCCCCAGGCTTGACAGAATGAGTTACCCATCCCAAGGCCCATGGCAGTGAGGTTCAGATCAGGTACGACCTTTCAGTGAATTGAAAATGCTTCTTGGAATAGTGTGTACAACCAAATTCCCATCTCAGCAAAAACCTCTCGTATTATATTGGCCCTGGCCAAAGGCTGCAGTTGTGCCAGACCTGGCCAGAAAGGCCCAACTCTCCCACATGGATCTAAGGGAATACTCTGAGGTGTCTGCTGTGTAGCTCGTGTGAAGAAGATACCGGTGTGCATTAATTTTTAAATATTATCATTTTCAGTTCATTTTTTTTTAGTGTCAGAATTATCTAGAATTTGGGCCTAAATAAAACAGACCTAATACAGAGAGTTCTGTTGACTTGAGCTGTGCTGCTCTCTTGCCTGAGCCTTGAAGGATCCAACTCCAGTAAGTGGAGTGTGGGAGGAGGAATAATCAGCTGTTTGCTGCAGCAGGTAAAACTGAGGTTTCTTAGTTACTCTCATAGATGCTAAAATCTTTTTTTTTTTTTTTTTTTTTCCTCCCTACTCTTATTTCTTTTCCTGGTGCTGTTATGATTCACACTTCGGGAGCTTTGGAAAACTGCTTCAGGCTTTCTAAACTTATGCAACAGATACAAACTGGGAATCTGCCCAGCTTCGCAGTTTTATCTTGTTGAGAACATGTCCAGGGCTTAACACTAGCAGCATGTATTTTCCAAGCACTGCCATGGGCTAGGGGAAGAAGTGGTTTCTTAGGAAGATGGGAAGGAGAATAACCGCTATGTAGTTAACAAATTGCCCAATCCTTGGATTAGATGTGATGGGAATTTTGCTTACTTGGATGAAGAGCCAACCATGGAGATTTCAAATAATGTGTATGAATTGTCATTTGTCCCCAAAATGGAAGAAAGGGTCCTTTTGCTTGCAGAGCACTGTCTGCTAGGGAAAAAAAGAAAAAAAAAAAAGGAAGAAACATTTATTTCTGAAAATGAATAAAACCAATGTCACCTGTGGATTTCTGTAGTTTAAAAGCATATATTTGTTATCATTCAAGAACTAGCAAATGTCCTCTGTGGGCATCTTTTTAATTGGTGTCCAGTTTGGCATACTTGATCATTTTTGGAATAAATTGCTGCTGCTTAGTTCACTGAATAGTGGTCTCTTTGGCAGTTTTGATGTGCCTTTCTTTTCATTGTGCAGATTTTCTTGTCTTTTCATCTTAAGAAAAAGAAAGAAAGAAAGAAAAAAAAGGCACTGTGGAAACAAGCTGTGTCCTCACAACACAGCAGTTTACACCACTGGCCGTGCTGCGGAACCTGGAAGGCCGTAGGTGAAGGACAGTGCCTGAGAGAAAAGCACTCAAAGCTGCGAATCCGGCTGCGAATTCCCGGCTGCGCGGGGTGTGCGTCACCCCGAGAGGAAAGGCCGTGCACGGCCTGGAGCTGCTCCCAGGTCGCACGGGCCAGGGCTCTCCCCTGGCCCGGAGCTGGGAGCGTTGGAGGTTTTGGAGCTCAGACTGCAGCAGTCACTGAAAATTTCTGTATTTTCTTCTTTGCAGGGCACTATTCGGAGAATTATTATAGAGAACCCTGAACAGGTAGGGGAGTTATTTTGTTCTGTTTGTGCAAATGTCTTTTATGTGATTATTGTGATTCTGTGAAGTGCTCCATTATCCTCCCTGTGGGCTGCTAAGGATTTTTAAATCCCAGGGCCATACCTGGTTCTGAGATTAAGTTACTAGGAATTGAAAGTACTGCCTAATCACTGCAGGATTATGCTTCCCACCTCTCCGTAGGTAGGTATATATCAAGATGCTTCAATGGAGAGATGAATTTCTAGCTCTTTCTATCTTGCTTATTTCAACTCTTGTCTAGATGGCAGCACAGTCACTTTGTTTCCAAGTGGAGCAGACTCATATAAAAAAAAAAAAAAAAAGTATGATGGTGGGATTTTTGAATATATATTTTTAAAGCTTTTCAGAAAATTTTCTGCCTTTTGGTTAATTCTTTTGTGAGAGACTCCTTGGTGGAATTAGAGGTTTCTGTGCTGGGAGGCTGAGCGTCCTGGGTAAAAGTGCCTGAGATAATGTCCCAGTCAGGAGAGCCCAGGGCCCCCCGGGCACATGTGGACCCTGACCTTGGGGAGCAGCTCAAGGACGCAGCCCCCCCAGCAGCCTCCCGAGGGCCTCGCGCTCCCGAGACCCGGGCAGGTTCAGCCGGGGGCGGCGCTTTACACACGGCCCCCCGGAGCGGCGCAAGCGGCTCCGCCAGCCCCTCGAGGCTACACGCGACCCAGAAGAGAAAGTCCCACAGCGCTGGGCTCTGCTTAGCACGGCACACTGTGCGCCCTGTGTCGTGTGGCCTGCTCGCTTCCTTCAGCGTCCGGCCTGATTCTGTGAGAAAAACAATGTCATTTATTGGTTTTCCCCATGCTGTGACGTTGAGATGCTGCGTGTGTGTGTGTGTGTGTGTGTGTGTGTGTGCGCTGCATGGATGTTGCAGAAAAACCTGAGTTCGAGGCTGTGAACCCTGCACCTCCTCCTGTGTTCATATAGGAACAGTGTATCTCAAAGAGCTTAAGACTGTAAAAAGAGAAGATATTTACCTTGGAGAATTTTAAGTGCATGTGTCTTCAGACTATGAGAAAGCTCCAATCATTTCTAGTGAAAATGCTACTAGCTGAATTGGCTGTTTGGTGACATATATTAATGGTTTTCATTAATCTGTTTTTCAGGAGCCATTATCCCCATTTTTTAGAGGGGGGAGCTTCTATCCTGGAAATAATGTCATCTATGAAAAGACAATAAGAAAATACGAGCTATTAAATCCCCACCAAGTAAGTTGTTTCTGTATGCTGCTTATTGCAAAGGAAAACTGAGAAAATAGCAGGAAAGACCCTGTTCCTTTTGAGGGCTGTCTTGTCCCTGTGTTTTGAGGGCAGGTTTAGGAAACATTCCCAAAGTAAACAAAACTGTTTCCATGATGGCAGCAGGTTGGAAGCAGATCCATTTTTTCTTAAGACTTTCTTATTTCCAGCTAACGACAAATCTGCTGCCGAATCTCTGACGCGCGCTTTGGTCACAGAGCTCTTCAGTAGCCCCGCAAAGGGTACCTATATGATGTCTTAGAAAAATGGGATTGTAAAGACTAATTTTAGCTCTAGCATTCACTCTGATTTGATTTTTTTTTTTTGTAAAATGAAATTTTGTCTCAGATTTGGTATTTTGCCAATAGCAAAATTGTCATCTTCCTCCTTTCTTATTACTCTGAAATACTATCACTTTCCACAGGAATCTTTTTGAAATGAAGGATATTTCAGCCTTTTTTTTTTTTTTTTTTTTTGCTTTTAAACTGAATATTATATATTTCTTTTTCTTGTTGAAAGCAATAGATAAAATAGGTGTGATACCTGTTTTTAAAAGTAGAAAGGCAGAAAATTTGAGGTAATCATGAACAAATACTCTTAGTTTTTTCCACAGATAGTCTACAAGGAAAATGTGTTTTTTTTTTTTTTTTTGTCCCCAAGGGTACATTTATATTAGCACTTTAGATCAATTCATGAGTGCAGTTTCTGGGAAGTTTTCACAGCCCCCATGTACATGGCTCTGCCCGGTCTGCTGTGCCCACTCTGAAAATGGAATTGCTGAAGCTATTTATGGAGCCATATCTTGAGCTATTCCTGTCCTAAATAGTTCTAACTGAAATAACAACAACACAAAAAACTGCCCATTTCCTGGTGTGTTAAGAGGAACAATATAATGAAATACAATTCACAAATGAAATTAGAAAAATAGGGTATATTCTGTGCCTTTTATTTCCAGCTACTAAAATTTGAAGAGTTGCTGAATTACAACCTTAAGCTATGAAAAGTGCGAGGCAAACTCATGTTTCATTTTCCTATGCAAAACCACTTTTTTCATTTTTGTAATCATGCTACGCTCCCACTAAGGTGTGTTCTGTGGTTTAAATAATCACTATTTTTGTGTTTATAGGAGAAGCAGTATCAGTTTTCCCACCAGTATCAAATTCCGCAGCAGCCAGATCAGTGCCAGGTCATCCAGGCCTGCCAGCAGCCTGACCAGTGCCAGGTCATTCTCCAGAGCCAGCAGACCCAGACGAGCAGCCCCTGCGAACCCCTGCCGGTGCCTGGGGCCGAGGACTGCAGGGGAGGCACCGCGAGGAGGGCGACGGCGCAGACGTGCGAAGCGGTGAGAACCACCTGCCCTCGGCTCGCTGTCCGCAGCGCGCGGCTGGGCGGCTGGTTGGGCGGGCTTTATGGACAGTACAAAAGCCTACAGATGGGTAAAAGGCTCAAAACCTATAAAAAATAGTGTGAATAAATTGTTAATTAATAACCGCACACATCCCTGCGGAGGGGAAGCGCGCTCTAACGCTGCTGCCTGCCCGTGCCAGGTGGGCGGCCCGCAGGACCAGCTGGACTGCCGCTACTTCGGCGAGCTGCTGGCCGAGCTCCACCGCAAGACCAGCGACCTGCACAGCTGCCTGCTGCGCCACGTGGAGAAGATCGGAGCAAGGTAGTGCCACGGCGCCCGCGCCAGGGCTTTGCTCCCCTGGAAATCCAGGGGGGCACAGCTGAGAGCTCGGCGCTGACTTTCCAGACAAATAGAATTCAAAGTGCACTTCAGGCACGGGATTTGCTGAGTACCTGTGGATATAAAGCAAGGCTCTAAGCCAAGCAGATTAATTGGATTCAGTGCTCTTTCAAATTGTGTGGACTAATACGCAATACAAATGACTGTTGAAAGAGTAGATAGAACAAATTTAAATATACCTACAGCATGCTGTTACATATGTTTAATGACACAATTCCATTACTACTCCTGAAGAAAGAAACAATCCAAACATCCAAATTGCCATTGGCATAGCACGTAAAAAAACCTGGAATTCAACATCAAGAACTGCTAAATACGTAAATACTTCAGGCGCATCAGTGCATTGTAGCAGCGTGGGTAAAGCCACCACCCAGCCAGGCCTTGGGTTGTGGGTTAGGATAATTAGTGCAGGTTGTTGGGATAACTAGGTAGTTAACATAATTGGATTAACTGCCCAAGAAGCTACCATGTAGGGGAAGCACTGTGTTCCACACTCTAGTGTGTTGGCGTTCCAGCCTGCTGAGCTTCATGGGCTAACATTTAACAACAGTTGTTTGCCTACCACCTTAAAATGAGTATAAAGAGATCTGTTAGTACACTAAAAATGATCTTTTTATGGTTGTGAATGTAGTCATGAGGCGTTCTGTTAAATTGGTCCCTTGGATTTTGTTTTACAGGAACCACGACATTGAATTTACCAGCCAGGTAAGCAGCAGTTGTGTTCCTCTAAGCTGTTAGGTAACATTTAGTATTAGTGAGAATTGTGTGGATCTGCAGTTTTGAACCAGATTAAATCTCATCCAATTTGACTGAAAGATGTGGTCCAGTCTGATCAATGCAATGAAGTCATCTGTGTTAGATGATGATTCCTGCTTGCTTGAAACCTACTGACAGGCACATATTTGCAAGCGCTAGAAGAAATGAATGTTAATAATTTGCATTATTCAGTGCCTTATGAAAGTCAAATTTTGAAAGCTTTTTTTCCTGTTGTTCCAATAATAATTTCATTGTAAAGCAGACTTGCACAGCTACTTTTTTTTTTTTTTTTACTTTTTTTTTTTCCAGTATGCATTTGTTGTAAAGCATCTTTCCCACTCTTGCAATAAAGAAGCTGTTTGGCAGCATGGGCTGCCACGTATTAGGTGTGGAGGATACTGCCCCTCACAGACAGAAGAACCAAGGTTGAGGAACAGGCATTCTGCATTGACAAAATGCTGGATTCTTCTTTTGAGAATCTGATAATAATATATAATCACACCACCATCATATCATGTATATCATATCCTGATCAGCACATCTAGTGTGCATATGGCAGAAATATTTGTTCAGGATTAAATTACATGATGCAAGGCCACTTAGTCACTGGCAGTATCTCTTATAGCACACTGGTCACCATTTATTTATTCAGAGTTGATTATTTAGAAACATGAGATTCGATCATATCAGCTTTTTGGAGTTCTGTTTTAGTGTTAACTGCTGTTTTGGGGAGAGGATTGTTTTGAATAATGCTTTTAAAATAAAAGTTAACCTTTACAATTTAAATATTCATCAAATGAAAGTATGCTTGACATATCATTTCATCTCATATATAAGTCTTTGGAAGTCTTCTGGATATCTTTTGATGTATTTTCATTGTATTTTGCCTTGTACTAAGTATGTTTTTCATAGTAAAGATGTGTAGTTAATGAAAACACATTATGATCTAGCAGGCAAAATTCTTAATAGATGTCAAAGACAAATAATTCCCCCCGCACCCACCCCCCCATCCCTTCTTCCTTCTTTGCTTAGTCTGAAGATGTTGAAGATCTAATCCCCAAAGCACTGTCTGAGGCAACAAAGCAGCAGATTCGTTACCTCCTCCAGGTATGTGAGCGCAAACCACAAGCAGAAACAGTAGAAGTTGCCAGTTGACTTGCACGTAGCAGGGAATTTGTACAGAGCTTAACTCTGTATTCTGCTTATTCCATTGCTCTAATGTGACATGAAATGGCTTCAAGAGGCATGAACACCGTCACGCAGACGGTGCAGATGGTTCAAACAGCTTTATTGGAGCTTTCTTGCAGTTTCACTGGACACTGGACATCAGCTGCCAGCTACATCTAGTGTCTATAATTTGTCTCCCACAAGTGTTCCAGTTCAACACATGTAACATGTGGCTCTTGTCTGTGGCACGAGCTTGTGACATCCAGTAACAAATCAGCCATTTCTGTTGTGATTCCATTTATAAATGGCTCTTGCTTTTCTCCTCATGTTGCTTTTTAGCTACCTAGCCATCTCTCTCCCTGATGTTTTGTGGTCCAGCAGCCATGTAGGTTTGCCTGAAAGGTCATCGGGCCAGAACGCAACGTTCTGGCCGTGTTTAATGTTGGCTCCGGGCTGGAACGCAACGTTCTGATGGCGTTTGCTCCTTTGCTGCCTCCCGGCACTGTAGTACCCTCTGCATCACACTGACCACCTGTGTGAAGCACCCTGGGAGCCACTGCAATTGTCCTCCCCTTTGATACATGAAAAATGGGGACGTAGCAGGAGCGCCAGCGCTGGCGCCGGAACAGGGGGCCCCTTGGATCTAGGGGTGCTGGATGCTCCACACGGCCTGTGCTGCCCAAGCAGCAACGCTGAATCCCCCCGTCCGGGCTGGCAGGGCGGCGCTGCCCCACGTTCCAGTGCTGGAGCAAGGGCAGCATAAGGGTTTAACTTTGATCCAAATATTAAAAACAAGCCCTCTGCAGAGTGTTCAGCTTTTCTGGACTAGTCAGAAGATAGAGGATTTATGATGCATTGTTTTCCTTCTTAAATATTATAAGTTTGCCATGAAATGCAACTTTCTGTTCTAATGTGAGTTAATACACAGCTGTTTACAATGTATTAACAGAAGAAAAAAAAAAAAGGCAGCACAGTTATTTTACTGTTACAGCTGATTTTATTTATTTTTTCCATCCAGGTGGCTGGATCATTGGAAACTTTTTCCCTTTAAAAGAAAAAGTTGGTAGTTTGTGGGGCTTTTTAGATTTTTTTTTTATTTTTTTATTTTTTTTTCATTTAATGCTCTTGCCCCTGGGCTGAAAGCTTGGTTTATCAGATCTCAATGATGATGAATCATTCCTGTGTGACTTCTTTTTTTCATCATTATAATTCACAGAGCCCTGAACTTGGTTATGAAATATTTACCTGTTTATTTTTCCCTTCATTACAACATAATCTCAGTTCTCCTCTCTTATGTTGCTCCTCCCATTTTAAAAGTGTCTTGTTGTAACTATTCTGTTCTGTAAGAAAAGATAATTGTGCCATTTGTGGGACACAGTGCGTGAAAGTGGGTCTTCCTTTAGCGTGTCTAGTTCTTACAATTGCCCCATGTACCTAATGCTCAAGTTAGTTATTTGGAGCTGAATAGCAGTTCTCCTGGACATTGCTAAGCGTATCGTAAATAAAGCAAATAAATCAGAAGAACACATATTTTTTGTTTCCTCCTAGATGAGAGTGACATCAGATAAATCACTGAGGCTTGTGCTTTCCACTTTCAAAAATCTGCGTGAAGAACTTTGCCATTTACAGGACGACTTGGCGGTTAAGTTGCACTTTTTTGTTCCCATGTTGATACCTGTCAGTAGTTTAAAAAAAAAAAAAAAAAGCCCACACAGTAACAAATTCCAAGAAAATAATTTATTAGTTGTATCACTCATTAATTACTCATTACTTTGTATTTTCAACATGGGAAGGGTTTCCTGAAAAATGGCAGGATTGACAATAAACACTTTTGTCTTGCAGAAATTAGAAACTGACAATGTCTGTCTTAAGAAGGACTTGTCTTTTAAAGATTCTCAAGTTAAAGAGTATGAAACTCTGTTGGCTTCCTTGAGAGAAAATAATCGTCAGCAGCAGGTGAATGTGAAAACCCGCCCAGGGTAATTCCCGTGGGCGCAGAGCGGCGCGCGCCGGCCGCGAGGCCCTCGCGTGACCCCGTGTGCTCTATTCCAGCAAGGCCTCCGAGACAGCACGGCCAAGTGCCGCTCCCTGGAGGAGCAGCTCCTCTCTCTGCGGCTCACGGAGGGGGAGAAGGAGTGTCAGGTGAAAGAACTCGAGTTCTGCAAGCGGGCCCTGGAGCAGGAGATCCAGAACTTGAGACTCCAGGTACCGGCTCAGTTTTGTTTACAGTAGCTGTTACACAGAAATTCAACCGTAGAAAAGAAAAAAATTAAACTTGGTATAATTCTTTTCGCAATAAAAGCCATTTCATTTTCTATAGGTCTGCTCTAATCCAACACTTCAGACCACCACAGATGAACTCTCCAGCCGTTACGTAGAGATGATCAACAACTTGCGAGAGGATAAAGATCGTGAGATCCGCAGTCTTAGGGTATGTTGGTTAACTTCATCTGTGTATACTCCTCACCTTTAATGACCATAGGTAAATTTATTTTTTAATTAAGAGGTAAGATTTCTGAAACGTGCTCTTTAGATTTCTGCAATTACGCTGTATGTTAATGATCAATCCAGACCCCTTGTGGCAGAACATAAAACTGTGATTAAAAAACATCTCTAGAAAATAAAGATAAATCCCTTTTTATTAATATTTTATCACTTTGAAAAACAATTTGTTCTGTGTTGTATTAAATTTCTCAAGTTACTGATCTCTTTGTTGAGTTATCACAGATGCTTTAACAGTTAAGTCCAACTAGTATTCTCAATTTATTGTGCAGGTCAACCTTTTTGCTTAAAAGTGATGAGTCTTTCTGCATGTCTGTGTGTATTTACATATATATTACGTGTATGCATGTAGAGACACAGGGTTTTGTAAATTCTACTACTTCAAGCATTAATGTTCATGATACTAATCAAAAAGTATATCCAGAGTCATAGATACATGTTCAAAGATCATCTGCAAGGAACACAGAGCACTTAACTGTTCTTTATCATATTTCTCCTTTAGTCTCAGCTATCACAATTCCAGCAAGACATATCAAGGAGAGAAGGCAGTAACAGTGACTTGCAAATAAGGCTGCATGAACTGACCTCAATGCTGGAGGAGAAAGATACTTTTATTAAGCAACAACAAGAGGTAAAATAACATGTTTCTGTTTCAAGAATGTTAGACTTAAGCATCAACATACCCCGAGGGTGGCAATTCACTGGGAAGTCTCTTACACAACCCTGCATCAGGACTAGGATGTTTTTAAGTGAATGTTTGCTGCTGCTGCTGCTTCTCTGCTTGTTTCTTAGAAGGACAGAATATTTCAGACTGTTCTTCCAGATGAATTTTGGCAAGTATTTTGTTGTGACTTTGGCAAATTGGCAAATATTACTTCATTTTAATATTTATTTTTGGTTTTCTCAGGAGCTCTTCAGACTGAAGCAAGAGAAATTATCATGCAGTCAATCCCCAGGTGTAACAGCCATCATCACCAAGAAGTAATGTAGCTGTTCACTTTCCTTAAAAATATGTTCTTTTGATTTCCACTGTGTAACTTCTATTAATGAAGTCCTTACAACCTTCATGTTTCTTACACATGATCTACCCAGCTTTTAGGTTTTCCTAGTCTGACTTTTTCTCCTATCTAGGGTGAATTTAGTACAGATACTCCTGCTCAGCATTTTAACAGCAATTGGAGTCACCAGTATGTCAAACTAATATTTAAAGGAGGGTATTAGATTCTAAAATCTCCCCAAATATTTGGTGATTAACAACTGAAGTAGAGGAACTGTAAAGTTGGTGATTTGGATATAGGTATGCAGATTTTAGTGTTACATTTTACAGGATTGCAACTCTTTTAATACAGGTACAGGAATCAGTATCCAATTCTAGGTCTCTTGTCTGATGACTACAAGGTTACATCACCGGTCAATAAATCACAAACTATTGTAATTGAGAGGACTGGAGAAATATGGAAACATGTAAGTTTACTTAAAATAAGTATTTAGAGATTTCAGAAACTACAGTTAACAAATACTAGCCAAAGTTGGCCTGCAAAAGAAAGCAAGAATGTTAATTTAGCTGGGCTGTAAAAAGTGAAGTTACTAACGAAACTCAAGTGGCTGCATTTGTCTGTTGCAAAATGTCAGCAGTTGTTAGGTGAAATACACACACACACACACAATTTTATTTTGACATGTAATTACCTTTAACAAAAAAGGGGGGCTGCTGTGCACATGGCAGCCTTCTGGGCATCGGTGTCTGTACTAGGTAAAGAGATTAGGAGTTTTTTTGTGTGTGCTTTGCTCTCAGATGGAGAATTTACAGATGCAACATAATGAGCAGGCAGCATGTCTCTGAATCCTAAATATTAATTATTCTGCACTATTACTAAAACAGGTTAAGCACCATGGAAATTCACTGAGTCAGAGCAGTGCCTGATCCGGGAAATTAAATAACTTAATAAAAAGTCTTCAAGTAGAAAACAGGACAGCAGAAGCTGTTTATGTTACAGGGCACAAAGTAAGGTCAATTTGAGTGCAGGGTAAAGGCTTGGGAAGGAAAAGCAGAGCCTAGAGCAGGTGTGTGCTCTAAATGCTGGAATCTGATAGACTCAGCTGTGGACAAAATCTTGGGAAGGAGAAATAAAGGAATGTAAGAAACAGAACAGCTGTAGTTTTGGGGAGACACAACCAAGGAAAGCCAGTTTTGTGAACAAACAAAACAGACCACAGGTAAAATATCCAGCAGATTCTAAAGGAGAATGTAGGCAGGACTGAAAGAATAGAGACTGTGTAAACAGCAGAGTTTTATGACTGATCTCTAGAACTCATCTGGTTGCCCTGCAACTGACTGCAATTGCTCTGCCTAATGAAAAGTTAAGGTAATGACCCTCACTGCAAAGAACAAGCAAAACCCCTCTGTCGCCTACCTTATTTGAAAAGTTACTCATACTTCTCATCATAAAGATGAAAAAGGATGAGTGAGTGTACCCAGCATTTAAATAGAGCAAGGTCATTAAGTGAGAACTGCTTGTACGTTAAGTTTCTCAAGGTTTCTACTGCAAATTTCAACTGAAACGAAACGGCTCTGTTGCCAGATGAAGGTGATGATTGGTAACAGTTTCAGACACACTAATTTCACCTTTACTCCAAGGCTCCCACGGAATTTCAGCCTGGGTGTGTTGGGCTGTCAACCAACTCCATCGATACTCATCAATGAACAGTGATGCTGATAGGTGACTGAGCAGCCTAACTTACATGTATGAGATTCCATCGTTCAACTAGTTATTATTTACCATGCTAAGAAGTCACTTAGGGCATTGAAATTATGTGTATTGTCTTGATCTTTCAGTGCAGCTGAAATCTGAAGTTTCATTTGTGGTGATTCATATTCACATCAGAGAATTCTAACTTCTCTGGTAGTTTTTTTTTATAATATTTGCTATTTAGGTGTATAATAACTTCCTGTTCTTGGTGGTTCTCATAAAAAGCCTGTTTTTCTGTTTCGTGGAGATAGTGATTCTGGCCGTTTTTGGCACATGCCCTTTGCTAAACAGAACTGTGTGTTTACAGTTTAATGGTTTGACTTTGACCTTGATAGTACTAGTTGCTCTGGCACTGACATGGGCAGCAGCTGTAATGGAGAAAAGGCTCACTGGCCATTTAAGACCCTTTAGAAAGAAAAAAAAAACAGATTAAGTTAGATAAATATATTCTCAAAAGAAGCATGCTTTATATACCCAGAAGTTTCATTTTACACACAGAAATGGTAAGTACATGCGTATCTTTTGACAGCCTGCTTTTTTCTTTCAGGATTGAAAGAAGTCCCTTAGCCAGAGTTGCCTAAAGGAGTTCACACCAATGACTGAAACTGCTGCTTTCCTTTCTGCTGTTTTGCATCAGTAAAAGATTTGGTCTGATACTGAAAGTGAGGAACGCAATAAGGACATGGGAACAGGAAAGACGACTCTGGAAAATGCTGTCCTGCCCTCATCATAAAGAACCAAGTTCCCTGTGTTCTTCATAATCTGCTGATAACATCAACTGTGCTGTATTTTCCATGCACTTTTCTCTCAGCAGAGAACAATATTAACAACATTACCCTGCTTCTGTAGACTTTGGTTTTTCCTGACAGTCACTAAAACTTGACTAACTCCACTTCTGTCAGTCTTGCAGCATTCTAGGCGAGAAAAGAGAAAATGACACGATCCCTCTTTTGGAGGACTCCTGCTATGTCCTGTCTGCTCATGCAGAGTAGGTGAGAATGATACAAGTTGGAGGTTTGCACGTACTGAGTACAGATTCACAACGACTGTCACTTTATCTACTGCCTATTCAAGACGAAGGGGGAGCTTTTAACACTCAGGGGCACCCTACCGAAAACACTAATGTAGATTTGTCTACAAAAAGCTAAAACACTAATTACTTAACTTGCTCCATATCCTAACTTCTTCAGCAAAAACTTATTCAATGAGCGAATACCAAATTTACGTACAGTTAGATAAAATGAATGTGTTGGGGTTGGCAGGTTTTCAGCTGAACCTCTTATAAATGCCCAAAGCAGCCCTAACTATTTATTTTCAGGGGCTGTGTGCTTGGGGATTTTGAGAACTAAGGGAAACTTTTTGTATGAAAATAGCTCTTGGACTAAATGTTTCCATCAGATCTACCCTGCAATTACAACATTAACTCCAGGCATGACTACAGAAGTGGTTTGAACTGATTTGGTATCAATATTTAAGTAGTAAATAATAACTAACAACAGCAGTGCATTTGGGGAAGATGGGGCAATACTAAGAAAACATTCCTAGGGGGGTATTAAGCCAGTCTGCATCAATGTGCATACAGGGTTCTTGCTTTGCTTTATTTCTGTGGGTTTATGTATTTCTACTCCTCCTGAATGTACCTTTACAGATAATGTTTAACGGTGGAAGAACCCTGTAGGAGCCGCGTCACTATGAAATAAACAGTGCAACTTTCTCCTGGGTGTGTGACTGGAGGGGAACAGCTAATGCCTGGGTGAGGGCTGCCAGGGGCTGTCCTAGGGCTGTCCCTGAGGGCATTTTTGACAACATGTTCCTCTACCTCAATCTTTACCAGTGGAAAAAACAGCGTTGAGGAGGTGAGCTCTGCCTTGACTCCTCCAGGCCAAGTGACGCTGCGAGGGCAAAGGAGGTGTCAGCGCTCTTGGCATAAGGAGACAACCATAAACCCACCCTGCTGCTGCCAGGGCTGGGTGAGCACAGCCAGCCTGCACTTGCAGGTGTGAAGAAAGATTAAAATCTAGTTTAAAATTAAAATACAACCAGTTTAATCTAGCCAGATCACAGGAGATCTGAAATAACGAAAAATATTTATAAAACAGCTTCAGTTGAGTGAAGAGTAGTTTGTGCCATTGAAAGGAAAAAAAAAATTAGTTATGAAATACAGATCAGTATCATATGCAAACAAAAATATCATTACTGCTGGCACAAATAGATTTCAAGGTATATTCCAGCCCAATAAATAATGTCAGTTATGCTGTCTAAGGGCCTTTGTACTTTTGTACCCCAAACACAAGAAAACCTGGCTGAAAATCTTTTTTTTTTTTTTTAGTATTTTTTAATGCTATAGTTAAACTGCTGTTGAGCTGAGTGCAGTTACCTGGCACAAAGGCGACACAAAGCACCCCCCCCACCCCGGCTCATTTCGGGAAATGCAGAACGTGCTCTTAAAAATGCCTGGTTTGCCCAACAGGAAGACACCGAGGTCGACACCGGTTTGGATAGCCAGGCCAAGTGCTCTAAGGCTTGGGACACTGTTTAACACCTCCATGTGCTGTCTGGCAGAGCAACAGAGTTTTGTTCAGAACTAACAACACTGAAGCAGCAGCTCCCAGGCAGGGCCTTGGGGCCAGGGGGCACCTCACACCCCCCGCACAGGGCCCTCCTCCTGTGCCCAGGCACGGGCAAGACGCTCCCACAGCTGCAGCTGTGCAGGATGAGGCCGGGTCTGGAAGCAGCAGCAGAACCAGGGGCTGGACAGTCACCATGCAGGAGGGCAGAAAGGCTGAACTCAGCTGAAGCGGTTTTATAAATATTTTTCATTATTTCTCTCCCCCACCCTACCAGCAGCTACAGAAATTTAAACCAATACTCAAGCTGCAAGCCCAAAAGGATTATTTTTTAAGTAAGTGCTGAAATTTTACAACACAGGGGTAGCAAACCTTAATTGCATGGAGTAAATCACCAGTCTGCTTCCACCAGCTTTCTTCTCAGCTAGGTTTTGCTGTCCATACGTTCCCTGGAGAACAAATGAACAATTAATATAAAGGAAGAAATGACTGAAATAATTTAGTAAGCCACTCACATAAAAGTGCTCATCAGTCACGCACAAGGCTCACTAATCACTGAGCTCTTTCTTTGCACATGGCCCTACATTCTGCAACAGGAATCCAGGCAAGCCCACAAGCTGGTACTGCATAACTGTCAATCCGTGAATGATTTGGAACTCACGTTATTAACAAGCAGCAAATGGCCAGTCTGTAGATGATAATAATTTTAAAAAAAAAAAAGTGTATGACTTTTTGCATGCACTGATATAGTGCCAAAAAAAAAAAAAAGGTATGTTGCAAAAAAAGGCTAAAATATTGCACCTGTGTCAATAATGAGATATCAAACCATGATCTCAGCATCTTTTGCAATGCCCTTAATGCAGTGTCTACACATTTCTTCTAGCCTCAGTACACTGTTCTATAGCACATGAACTCTGAAATGCCCTTAAAACAATGCTGCAGTAATATTTTATAGACAATTTTGAGAAAAGGTTGTTTAAAATATTAACATACCTCCTTATTCCATTCCTCCTTAAGGTGGAAAAATAACCCAGCACTGACCTGCGCTTGGCCACAGAGTCACACAGGTGAATAATCATTTTCAGTCTGTCACGAGGAAGCTCCTTCAGTCTGTGCACGCAGAGTCTCTTCAGGAACAAAGCATTAACATTTTCAATGAAATAATACAATTTTCACCGCTAAGATTTTCTGACTGGCACTGCCCCTCCTTTGACTGCTGGACATCAGGAAGGGAAGTAAGAACAGGTCATAAGGTATAAATCAGTTCTGCTGGGTCATACACAAACCCAAGGGTTAGCTGAATAAAAGCTAGTCAGCAATCCTTGCTGAAGACTTCTGGCAAAATCTCAAGATTTTTATCTATTTATTTGATGTATTCAGTCAAATATTCTTAAGAGAAGGACATTAAGACAGCAAGATTTTTTTGCATTTCATTTTGCAAGCTATTCTTTTTATAGTTGAAAAAAATGACACTTACTTACCTCTCTTCTCCCAAAATACTCACAAGTTTTATGCTCTCTTAAAGAAAAGAATTTCAAAGAACATCAGTATTATCATTGGTAATAGCTTTTCATATGCTTAAGGACATGAAATGTAACTTTTAACTGTTACTTAAATAAAACACCAACCTCCCCCGGCAGTAACTGGATCTCAAGTAACTGTATTACTCGAGATAAATATCACTACATTTCATATTAATTTATAAACAATAATTTAATTAAAGTATTAGGCACATGTACACAGAATAAGACATTCCTAAATCACCATAAATGAGAAGCAAACTCCAAAAAACTTGGAGTGCAAGAGATGCGTTTTATTGTATGCCCGTTACGATGAGTAACACATTTAGAAATAATAATCCCACATAACAGTGACAATCTTATTTTACAGCGTGTACATCATTTTTTTACAGCCACATAAAACACGTATTTTTCTAAGAGATTTCCCAAATTTAACTTTCTGAAGTTTAGAAATATAAAAAAAATTTATTCTCGAGGAACTGATTCTCATCTGGTGCAAAAACAAAATATGAACATTATCTGAAACACAAAGCCACAATATAGCATGAAGTTACAATTTATCATGTGAACAGCTGTGTGCAAACATGAAGCAACTAAAGAGAGTAAAAAATACACATTATATGCATAACATTTATGAACAGGTTTTTCATTAAATAGCCCTAGACCAGCTCGTTATATTAAGCGCCATTTGATTTGCAGCATGCTAACACAAAGCTTCGTTTAAAGGGATGCATATTTTAAATGTATACACTGTAAACTGAAGATCCACCTCCAAACTCTAGTGGCAGCATATTTTTCTGGTTAAATACTGCATATATACTCTCTTACAGATTGAAAATGCATGTTTATAGTATGGTATAGATTTTTAAAGAATTGATTAAAAGGTGCAATTTTATACCTATACTGAAAATTTCGTATTAGGAAGTAGGACAGTAATAGTCATACCTGTTATGAACACTGCCCTAACAAACTTCTATGTATTTTGACTTTTAATTCAAAAAACTATTATTTTCTTTGACTTTGTTTCTAATACTCCTTTTAGAGAAGGTCTTAAAGTAGCAAGAAAAAAAAACAGTGTTGAGTCACAACACTAGTAGCTGCATCCATTTTTTTCTAAAAAAAGTCAGATTCAAAGTTAATTTTGTCATATGTGCCATACTGAACAACATTCAACTGTAGTTTCAGATAAAAAAGGGAAATTATATACATAGACATCTTTAACCCTAGCACCAGAACACCACCTTTGAGCTCATCACATAATGCTATATTTTAAACATCATATTCTGCAATAAAATAGGTTAGCAGCTTTGAAAACGTTTAAAAAATTACTCATCGAACCTAAACTAATAAAGGAAACAAAAAAGTTTCCCAATGAAATGTTAAAAAAAGAGAGGGAAAAGAAACGGAAAAAAATAAAAAAGGACAATCCCCCAAATTTCTGGACCAGTTCTGGAATATAATTTCCAGGCACAATTTAAAAATGTTATGACCAAGTGACAGACTAATGTTCTTACTCTTCCAAAACTGCACAAGAAGGTGGACTTGGTTACCTTAGCAAATAACTTGT